GCCCTGTCATCATCCCCTTTGGGAGATGGGGTGGAAACACCAGTGAGGGGCCCGTCCCGGGCAGCCCAGCCCTCTGACCGGCTCTGTGTGTTCTGTAGATCGTTCTGCTCAAGGACCAGAAGAAGTGCTTCAGCATCAACCCCGACTATGAGCCTGAGGTGGTGGCCGTGCACCCCGGGGGTGACACGGTGGCTGTTGGCGGTGCGGTAAGGCCTCTTTCCCTCATGTCTCTCGCCTGCTGTATTGGGGGGCTTGCAGGGTATGGGAGTGGGGTGAGTCCCGGGACTGTTTGGAGAGGAGAGAAGAGGTGGGGTGGGCTCTCCAGAACCAGCCTGGGAAGGAGGCACGAGGACCCCGAGTGTGGGACCAGTGCCCTCCTATAGCCCCAGTGAAAGAGCCGTCTCCCTGTCCCCTCCCGGGCTTCCTTGTTGCACTGATGGCTGGTCTGGCCCCAGCTGTGAGGCCCCCACGGCAAGGTGGGCAGTAGGTGCCTAGTGACGGGGCGGTGACACCGTGGTGGTGGTGCCCCTCCTGCCCTCTGGATTGTGGCGTCTCCGTGGGGCAGAGGAAGAGAGCAGGCCCTGAGCGGTGGTGGTACTCTGGTCATTTCTGCCAGTGGGCACTTGGTGAGCATGTCTGGCGTGTCGAGTACCGGCTGGGCCAGGTGCAGTGGGGAAGAAGGTGGACCAGGTCCCGCCCCTGTTATCTGTTTATTACTTCCCCCCAGCGCAGACCCTGTGCAGGGCTCGGGGGTAGAAACGAGGCCACCGCTCAGAGCAGGAGGGGTGTGTGTGTGTGTGTGTGTGTGTGTGTGCGCGTGCGTGCGTGCGTGTGCGCGCGCGTTTGTTCGTACATTCGTACGTGGCCACCCAGGCTGGAGGATGAATTGCAGTGGGACATACAGATCATGGTGCCTGGCACTGTCCCCAGAGGGTGACTGCAGAGTGCTAGGACGTTGTTTGTAAGTCCCTGGGTGCTCCTGCTTCAAGGACCCCTGCACTCAGTGAGGACAGCCAGGAGATGGGTGGCACACGCCCTAGGAGACAGCAGGCATTGCTGCCTGAGGGAGAGTGACGGGGAGTTTGCTGGGAGACAGCCTGGCCCGTCAGGGTGGCTGTGCTACATGGTCTGGCTGGTGCTCGGGTTGGGTGCAGGGTGGAGGTGGAGTGCAGGGCACGGTACGGTGGAAGTACCACAGCCACGCAGAACGCTGGGCTGGGCCTGGGTGACCCCGAAATTCTGCCCACTGGGGTGAGCCCAGAACCGTCTCTGGGAAGTGCCCGTGGGTGCTGATGGGAGGACAGTGGTCACGTGGGAATGCCCTCAGGTGCCCTTGTGGAGGGAAGTGGCCCCGGAGGTGGGGCTGGGGTGTTGGGAGCATGCGGTGGCCTCTCTGGAGCAGGGATCGGAGGGGAAAAGCCCTTTCTAATAGAGCTTCAAGCCGGTTCATTCCAGTTTGACCCCCTGCTGCGATTTTGCATTGAGTCCGGGGTAGACTGACTCGGCCTGCGATTTAACCCGATCCAGGTGATGCTTCCAGATCCCTAGAGGATCCTAAGTGTACAGGAGCCCCCTGGGATCTTCGGAAGGTGGACACTGGTTGTCGCCATCTGGGCCGCGAGTGCAGATTCTCAGCGGGGGGCACTGGGTCGAAGCCCTGCCCCCACCCCCAGGAAGGGACCTGTGCTCATTGAGAGGGTGGCTGACTTCTCTGTCCCTTCCTGCATAGGACGGGAGCGTCCGCCTCTACTCCATCCTGGGCTCCACGCTGAAGAACGAGGACAAGCTCCTGGAGGCCAAGGGCCCCGTGACAGACCTGGCCTACTCCTCGGACGGTGCCTTCCTCGCCGTGTGTGACGCCAGCAAAGTGGTCACGGTCTTCAGTGTGGCCGATGGCTACTCGGTGAGTGGGCCCCGCCCCTACTGCCCTGCACTTGGGTGGCTGGGTGATGGTCCAGTTTAAAGGCACCTGCAAGTGAATCCCTCCTCAGCAAAGGTGGGGGCAGTGGAAGAGAGCCACGCGTACTTGGTGGGGAGGCCCACGAGCCACCCATCCCGCCTTCAGGGGTGCTGTTTGGCCTTTTTTACCAGTGAGGTGACTGCATGTTGGAGGGATTCCATTGTGAGCATGACTGGCTCAGGGACCCAGCGCCCCTTCTTTCCACTGTGCCGACTGCCCTCCCACCCCCACCATCACTGTGACAACTCAGATTGACAGGAAAGTCAGAGAATTCCCCAGGAATGTACCACCAGCACTTTGCCTGGGATGCACTCACATGTCTGTCCATCCAGGAGCTTATGTGATTTCTGGTGCTTGATCATGTGCGTTACAGACCCCTCCACGCTACCTGTCAGCACTGCTGCCCGTTTGGACCTCTGCCCAGAGGCACTTCAGCTGCTACATGTTAATAACTAGAGGACAGTCGTCCTTGGGTTTTTCCATTTGCTGTAGTGCCTGGTTAGTGAAAGGTCTGGGTCCGTGTCAGCACACGTCTGCAGCATGTGTGCACCCGTGTAACCCAAACCCCAGTCAGGTACAGGACATGCCCCTCCTGAGAAGGCTCCCTTCCGCCCAGCAGCTGGGCCCTTCCTGATGAGCAGGGCCCCGGCATGGACTGTGTTCATCAGATGTCAAGTCACCTGGTGATTGGCATGGGCTTTGGCCATGCCTAAGGCATTTGACTGCTAACCAGAAGTTTGGTGGCTCAAACCCACCAGCCACTCCTTGGAAGGAAGATGGGGCATTCTACTTACATAAATATTTACCACCTCAGAAACCCACTGGGGCTCGCTATGAGTCGGAATTGATTTCATGGCAGTTTGGGTTTTTTTTCTTTGAGTTTTTGAGTTTTGGCTGTCTTACTGATGGATTGCTCAAGTCATCCACAAAGGTAGAGCAGCAAAGCATGAAATGGCAAAACAGAAAAGACAATCGTGTCTAGGTTGCTGACCTTTAGGGAGTTGAGAGGTGGAGAGTTGAGGACAAGATTGCTCTGAAGCAGCAGCTCTCCGAGCATTCAGCATTACTGCTACTCTGTGGCTTCCCTGGATGACGTGCTCCAAGTCCCGTTTTCAAAGTGCTGGCAGGACAGACACTCTGTGGTTCCCAGGGACACAGCTAGGCTTGGTCCACCCACCTGCCCAGAGAGAACCCTTGGAGAGGCAGGCCAGCCCCCTAGGTCACAGCTTCCCACCCAAGGAGGACCCCTAGAGAGGCAGACTGGCTTCAAGGTCACGGGCGCCTGCTTAGGGAGGACCCCCGGGGAGGCAGGCTGGCCCTTGTGGTCGCAGACTTCTGGTGCTGTACTCTTGTCCCCTCAGTAGACCGAGGGCTCAATAAACTCAGTGTGAGGCATGTGTGGTGGAGGGACCCCGGGGCCTGGACTGTGCAGAGAGGATCCGTGAGTCCCAGGTGTTGCCGGGAGTTAGGGATGTGCTCAGTGAACCCTCTCTCCCGTTGTGGCTGAGGACTGCATGGGGTGATACGTGGCAGTCTGGCCTGAACCCCCTCTCTTGTCTCTCCCACAACTAGGAGAACAACGTTTTTTACGGACATCATGCAAAGATTGTCTGCCTGGCCTGGTCCCCGGATAATGAGCACTTTGCTTCCGGCGGCATGGACATGATGGTGTATGTCTGGACCCTAAGCGACCCTGAGACCAGAGTCAAGATCCAAGGTGAGTCTGTGGCCGTATGCCAGCCATCCCTGGGCACCGAGTGTCCCTCTGTGCTTCTGTGGGGTGGCCCTGCTGGAAGCAGGCTGCTTCTCCTCTCTGGCCAGTGCCAGGAGCTCTGCTAGGCTGTGCTGGGGACCTGGAGGCCTGTTCCCCATGAGGGGCCAGGCAGCTCCCTATATAGGATACTGTGTGCTGAGTAAAGAGTTATTGTGGACCCCTCTTTCCTGCCCCTACCCTGTCCCTTAAATCTAGACTCTGCACCGGGCATGTTTACTCAGGCATCGGTGTCCAGGGTCTCAGCCCGTCACCCTGTGGCTTAAATCTAGACTCCACGCTGGGCACACCTGAGAGTACGTAGAGCCAGAGGTGTGCTGAGCGCCCCGCAGTACCCAAGTCCATCCCCCCGCAGAGTTGTGTGACCCCAGAAGTCCAGTGCTGCGGGTGAGGTGCTTGGCTGCAACCCAGCCTGGTTCCCCACTCGGCCTTCTGGGGTCTGATTTACAGCCATTAGGGGGCTCTGTCTTGGGATCCTATTGCTGCTTCAAGCAGAGGTGGTTCCGTACTCCCAGCCTGAGATACACGGGAACCCGAGAAGCTGGGCTTTGCCTTCAAACCAAGCTGTTTCCTTCCCAGACGCACACCGGCTGCACCATGTCAGCAGCCTGGCCTGGCTGGACGAGCACACACTGGTCACAACCTCCCACGACGCCTCCGTCAAAGAGTGGACAATCACCTACTGAGGCCCGCCCCCGGAGGCCCGCCCCCGGACCGACCTAATCAGGGACTAGACCTTCACTGCAGCAGAACGTGTTTTTTTCCCCCAATGTTTCTGTGACGCGCCCGCCCCGCCTCCGGGAGGAGGGCCGGCAGGAATGGCACTCCTCGCCTCTACAGGGTGTCCCTCTCTGTACTTGTCCTTCTGAAAGCTTTAGACAGTGACGGTTTGCACATGAAAATAAAACGAGCACTTAAACCGTGTGTGGAGCATAACTCAGACCCAGCTGCCCTCCCAGCCTGTGGCAGATTGAACATTCCAGAGGCGGCAACCGCGTTAAGTCCACGGAGACGCAGACCCGCGGCTTGTTCTCTGAGGGCAGGACACAGGTTGGGGAGCCATGCCGACTGCCTCTGCCTTCCACCCTGCGCGACGCAGCTGTGCTGGAGAGCAGCGCGCGCTAGCTGCAGCCCCGCGCCCCCGAGCCTGAAGGGCAGCCACCTGTCCCCATGCGTGTCCCGACCCCGCACACGGTGTTGCCTCCAGACAGCCGCCTTCCCCTCAGATGGGGCGTGCACAAACCTGGGTGTGTTTCTTTGTCAGTTTTTGTGCTTGATTTGAAGAATGGAACCGTGGTTTTTTGTTGTGTTTTTTTAATGTGTCTAACCGTTGCCTCTTGGTGTTTACACACCATCTCGTTGGCGGCCCTGTCTCCAGGTCACCAGCCCTCGGCCAGCGGCGTGTGCAGGCCAGCAGCGTGTGCAGCTCACTCGGGCTTTGATGTGTTCCTGCCTCTCTGCCCCTCCTGCCCCCAAGAGCAAAGATTAATTTAAGGGCCGGGATGCAGTCTCTATAGAGTAATCTGTCACGTTTTCACCCTTTCTTTTCAGTGCAGAAATTAAAAGTCCGTCTAAAGCACCGTGACCTGGCGTTTTTTTGCGTGTGTGGGACTCACTGGTAAATGTTGGCTGAGAACAATCCCTCTCCTTGCACTTGTGGAAACACTTTGAGCGCTTTAAGAGATTAGTCTGAGACATCATTAAATACCTTTTCTCTCTGTTGTCGGTCACTGACTGTGTGATGGGACCAGGGCCGGGGAGGCGGGAGGCTTCATGGGGGCCCTCAGGCGTTCCGGTTCCCCTTCACCCCACAGCCCGCAGAGCCCGGGCTGCCACCCCACCCTCCTGCACCCCATTCCCATCACTGTGGGACCTGGGCCACACCGAGCCCTTCTCTGGGCCCATTGTCTTCATTTATAAATGGGGAACACTGGACCAGATGGTCCCGTCTGGTTCTTAAGCTCTAGGGCGACTGAGGTCTTTTGTGGTGGTGCCGGTGCCATTGGGTGGATTTCTGGCAAAATGGCACGTGAGAGAGTCAAGCTGCCCGTAGGCGTTTCCAGGCTATAATTACGGGAGCAGGTCGCCTGCTCTCTCCTGGCAGTTGCACGGTGGGCTTGAATCACCGACTTTTCGGTTAACAGCCACACGTTTCACACTTGCACCACCAGAATGCCTTGACCTTTCTCCTTTCAAGGTGAGGAGTAACGCACATGTGGATATTGAAAAAGAACCTTCTTCCTGAGCCTCCAAGTTCATGGTGAAGACATACTCTGCTGTAACGTGGAAGGATACCACGATGGCCGAGTTTGATGTAATGCCACCGAGCAGTACTTTCCCTTCTGAGGCTGCATCTATTGTTCCTATCAAAAAAAAAGAGGCTAAAAAACTCTAGGAAGGGCAAGAGGGGATACTCCAGTGTCAGTCTATTGAAGTCTGGTGCCACCACCAGGCAGAATCCAGGAATGCACCTCATCCCTGTGAATTTACTTGGGTTCAGAACAAGGTACTTTCACAGCAGCGAGGAAAGGGCTCAGAAAATGGTGTTGCCAGAACCAGGGAACCATCTGGGAAAGTCAACAAATTGCTGCTGCTTGGGCCAGAGTGGATGAAAAGTTAACACTTAAAATGAGGTCTGCCAGGTTGAGTCCCCCCGGGGAGTTCTTGGTTGCTCCAAGGGGGCAGGTTGGAGATTGAGCGGCACAGATGGTTACTGTGCAGTGGGACGGGCTGCCCTGGATGCGGTGGGCAGCCTGGCTCACGCGTGTGCAGGAGGCGGGTGGCATCTTCAAAGGGTTAATCGAAGAGAGTTGAATGGACTGGGAGCCCTTCAAACAGGGAAGCTTTTGACTATTAACCTGAAGGTTGGTGGTTCACATGTACCCAGAGGGGCCTTGGAAGGGCCTGGAGTTTACTTCAGAAACTCAGCCATTGGACACCTTCTGGAGCACAAAGGGTGCTCTATTCAGACGTGGGGTTTCCTGTGAGTCATTGTGCTTTTGTTTGGGGCAGAGGAGGTGTTAGGATTAAGCGACTCAGAAAGAGGTGATGAAGCAGGCAGGAACCAGCTCAGCGGGGAGCTGTGGGCAGCCCTAGGCCTGAAGGTGCTTGGGGAGGGAGCCAGCCCCAGTGCCCAGAAAAGCGA